ATGTATGTTTGTATGTACGTATGTATCTATGTATTTTGTATGTATGTATGTATGTATGTATGTATGTATGCATGCATGCATGCATGCATGCATGCATGCAAGTATGCGATTGTACGGACACGCCAGCAGAGAGACTGAGATATATCTATCAGGAGACCCTCCTCGCTGACCACCAAACGATGGGGCTGCGGCCGTGGACATCCAAGGAGGGCGCAGGAACAGGAACCGCCGGAAGAGAAGGAGAAGATGCAGGTGAAGGAGGGGAGTATCTATGCACTCCTCCTGGTATCCTGCTTCAGCCTGCTAGGCGCGGCTGCGAAGCGTCTCACGGTCCGCCTTCGAATGAGTTTCTGAGTTTCGGTCGCCAGGTTTCACGATGCCATCACCAGCGCTTCCAGAAATCCGGAATCGCTTCGTGATGCCCAACTGGGAGACAGGGCTGGTTGCCTCTTCAATGCCACCTGGCAGGGACTGCTTCGGGTTGAGTTGCTGAAGCACTGCTTCCGTGAGTGCCCTACAGGTCTTTGGGCATGCTGGCTGCGGTGTGGTACTGGCCGACCCGGAGCGATGCCTGGGGCCGCATCAAAGTTCTGAAATGGTCCATGTTCGTCACAGCCCTCTTATTTTTCGTTCAGGCTTGGTTTCTTCACACGGAGTGGTTCCGTGGCTTCCTCTTCATGCGTCTGGTGACAGGCTGTTTTGCGGGCTGCAATCCCATATTCAAAGCGTACCTGGCGGATGTTGTTCCTGCCTCTAGGCTTGCTCGGTTTATGGTCTGGCGCGAGGCCTCGGCGACTTTCGCATTTATCGTGGGACCTTTTCTTGGCGGTCAGATGACGGCACGGTTTGGCATAGCAGGACCCTTTCTTGCAACCTTTGTGGCGCACTTGCTCGGTGCCGGGATTTGCTGGACATGTGTCGAAGAGTCACCGGTGCGCACCTCTGACGTCGAAGTGAAAGACTCCATGCAGCCCGACGACTCGGCCAAGAAATGGCCATTGCGGGTGAACCAGGTCTTTGTTATGTCCTTCTTCTACGTGGTGAGCCAGACCTGCTTCTCATTCTTTACGCCTCTTCTGCTCCATGACAAATTTGGCTTCAAGGAGGCCGGGACTATCGGAGTCTTCCTGACCTCGGTCGCAGGTTTTGTCCTCTTCTGTCAGCTCTTCCTCTACAAGGCCCTCTTTAGATGGCTCGGTCTGGTCTGGACAGGAGCTTTGGGCGCGCTGGGCATTTTACTGGGGCTCCTCTTTATGGGCCTTGGGAGTTTTCAAGGGGGCCCCTTGCAGTTGATGATCGGTGGAGCCTGCTATGCCTTTGGCTCGGCCACCCTTCCAACGACTGTGCCCACCCTTTTGGCCAAGTTTGTGAGCAAAGAGCAGCGTGGGAAGGTCCTGGGGAGGGACTCGCTCATCAACAACGTCGGCAGAGTTGTCACGCCGCTGTGCCTGGCATTCCTTTACGACACGAGTCCCTTTCTGTGCTTTGGTGCCGGATCTTGCGCATCACTCGTCGTAGTCTTCATACTTCTCAAGAACCGAACAGAGATGGAGAAGTAGTTCCGAAAACAAAGATGTCGCGGGATGGCAAGGAAGCTTCTGCGCGATCTTGTTTTTCTAGCAATATCCTGAGAGTTTACAGAAACTCTCTCCCACAGTTCATTACGTAGGGTAGGGTAATTAGGAATTTCAGAGTCTCTGCGCGAGATTGTGATTGTCGCACCTGCGCCGTGCTTCCTAAGCGGAGTGCAGCTAGGCGTAGGTGCCGCCCTGCTTCTCCCAACAGCCCCAGTGCGGTCAATGTCCTGGCGGCTTTAGTGTTTGTGCAGTTGGTTCTTACACTGAGATGCTAAGGACAAGACGGGATTGGCTGTCCGGCAGAGTCAGTGCGACATAAATGACAAGTGCGGTAGCTCGAGCAAGCACCTCGAATCAACGACTCGTGCTTGGAAATCTCGAAAGGATGCGGAGACGCCTTCGGGTGTCCCGCGAAGAACCTTGTCCAGTCCTGAGTGGTTTTCTTGGAGGCTCCAGGAGCTTGCAATGGCCTTGTGTCGCCTTGCAGCGACACCCCGAAGAAGGCGAAACCCAAGTCCAAAGCCGAAGAAGCCCCGGCTTTCTCAGGTCGAGGCAACGTCCCGGAGGCTCTGAGCTGGGCCGCACACCCAGAACTCGAGATACTCGAGTGATCGCTCCCGTTTGGATGTTCCTGCAGCGAGGTGGAACTTTCAGCTTCTTCATGAAGCGGGCACAGCAGATGGAAGGTTCAGAAGCATCGGAAGGCCCTTCGGTCTCCAAGCATGTGAACGTATAAACCGAACTTCTTGATGAGGCTTTCATGCCCCCTTTGGTATCGGTTCCTCCTCGTCGGGACCTTTGGCAACAAACCTGCTGCCTTGTCGCTGCACGTCTTGCTGGCCCCTGCCAGGTCCTCGCAGTTCTCGCCCTTGCTGCGGGATTTGAAGAGTGAGGCGCCGCGATCACGAGTTCCTTCATAAAGATGCCTGTTGACACAAGTCGGCAAGAAACCCGCGCGCTCCGCTCCGGTTGGATGCCTCGTAGAGGACGGGCAGAAGCAGCTCCTGGCCCTCACCGAGCTGGCGGAGCAACTGAGCTTCAGCCCGTGGCTCAGCGGCTCGGAGCGGCCTGGCCGGGATTCCGGAGCTTCCGAGGTTCCGAGGAGGCCTTGATCTCCTTTCCGATGGAGACCTTCATTCCCCTGCTGGCAGCTGCCCCTGTTTGCGAGCCGTCCTTGTTTGGAGTGAAGCCGAATTCTCCCTCAGATCAATCTGCTTGGAAACCCTGGCAATGGCGATGAGACAACGGCACAGGCTCGGACGTAGACTGAAAGCAGTTTCTCAACCATGATTCTCCTTAGCAGGTGATGTTGCTGGCCTGCCGCTGCCTCTTCAACGTGGTCGACATTCTGCCGAGCTCTTAGCAGATGCCTGGTGGAGACGTCGCTGCACCATTATTCGCCGAGCACAGCTTTTGCTGCCCAGGCCTCCAACAGCAAGGATCATTGTTGGCCATGGGGGTCTCTCTGTGCTCTGTGCATCCCTCAACTTCATCCCTAGTGCTGGCTTCACCCCGCGGCTGCACTGATCCGGCGAAGGTGCAAATCTGCTGAATATTGAGTACATAGACGTCCCGAGCTCTGCCGGGCTTCAACTTGGGTGTGGAGAAAGTATGATATTGCAGTGTTGCAGTGCCACATGCGGCAAGATTGGTATGGAGTTCACTTATGCCCCCGTGTGAAGAAGGCATCTAGCTGCCTGTCCCTCGAATATGCTAAAAGCATGAAGGCAACTGCTGTAGTTGCGCTTAGAAGGAAGCAATGGGAGCAGAAACGGTGCAGGCACACATCTGTATAGTGTGACTTGTAACGAAGATAGCACTGCGCAAGGAGTACAAGGCAGTCGCACACCCCCCGTGCCCAACAGCAGTGCAGCTCACATAGCCTGGACGCAGGTTGGGTCGTAACAGTTATAGTCATAGTCCATCCCTGCAAACGCGCTCCCTGGACACGCATGGGCTGCCTCGAGTACTGAAAATCTGAGCGTAGGGTAGAGAAAAGTTTGATACAGTTGAACGTGACGTATGGTAAAGGAGGCACATTGAGAGATTGCGTTGTGCCCTTGATCGTCGGGCAAATTAGATTTGTGCGAGGTCGCGGAGCTCACTGTTTCCATCATTGAGCTCATCTCTGAGGACAATCACGACGACCCTTCCATGCCTGGTGTAAGTTTCGTGCTGTGGCAAAAGGCAGCCAAGTATCAGCTAACCCGGAGTTCCTCCACATGTTTGACCGCTCAGCATGCTGAGCAGGGCCAAGTTTCACATTGGGGGCTAAGGCCGCGAACGCCCGACTTGCAACTCCGTTCCAAGCCCAAAGTCAAAATCCGAACGGCCCCCTACGAACGCACTGAAAGAACTTCAGGCGGCGAACAAAAACGGCCGAAGGCCAACCCTAAACCCTAACCCCCCCCCAAAAAAAAAAAAGAAAAACAAAAAAGGCACACCAAAAACGCAAAGTTCGAGGATCAGCCGCTGCAAGTGCTGAAAGCCGGCGGCCTTGAGGCCATCCTCTCCTTTCTGGTCGGGGGCCTCAGCCTATGCCTGTTTGCTCTCTGGCTGCCTTTTGCTGCACTAAACCCTTAACCCTAAGCCGTAGTATCAGCTTCCTTCCTACCAGATGGCCCTAAGCAAGGCCGGAGCAGTACTAGACTAGAACATGAGGAATAGCAGCGTTGGAATGAGACTATACTTGAGGGAATACAGCAACGGAGAACAGAAAGCCTCGACTACATAACACAATTGTAGTGACAGCTGCTACAATGATGGTGGAAGGGAACAGCAGTTACAGTTGTCCTAGTGGATCCGGTGATATCCGGTGATTTATGGTAGCAGTTTTTGTCGTTGTCGCTGTCTTTGCAAGGTGCAGCTATGTGCTTTAACCTTGTGCCGCCTCGAGGACTTCTTCCAGATCTCCGTGCAGCGGCAGGCGGCGAATGCTGCTGCCGGATTCTTGGCAGTCAGGACGCGAGCTTCTGGACACAGGGAGCTTCAGCTCGTGAAGTTACGTAAGAAGAGTCGCGACGTGGTAAGCCTAGCTCCTTGCTCAGGCTGCAATGTTGCGTGCTGTGCCACCGCCGGATGTGTCGGGCACTCGCACTGCATTCGCCGCTGAAGATGCTGTTGCACCAGCCACTAGGCACAGTTGGGTCGGAAAGGCGGTCTGTTCTTTGTGAATTCCTCAGGTTCAACCAGCAAGTGAAGCCTGCGCTGCCGACTCTCGCACAATTGCCTGGCACTTTCGGCTGGCAGTGGTTGAGGGTTGTCGCATTTTTCCCATCATGATCGGAGCAGATTCAGACTGCAGAAAGCCCGAGGCTGCAACATTCAGATCCACAGGCTTTTCCTTTGCATCAATACGCTAGGCCGCTAGGCAGTGTGCAAGTCAGAGACCGTGCCAGGTTCTTTACTCCATTTGTGAGGGGTGGCGTCGAGTCATTGCTGATGCCTTACGTGCGCAGCAGGATGAAACAGCTTCTTGCCCAGATCTTCGCTTCAGGACGGTTGCATCGCCGCGCACGAGCAACCCAAGCAGCAGGATGCCTCATCAGTGTCAGGCATGACGGAAACGAAAGGGGCTGAGTGTGACAGCCGTACTGACGCCCAAACTTATGCACCGAATTTGTTTTTATTTCTATTATGACATCCCAATAATTGGGGCCACTCGCAGGTGCCAGCGCATCCCTTGTCTCGCGCTTCGCGGCCCAAGCGCGGCTGCGTGCCCGGCCTCAGGGATTCGCCAGCAAAGCGGATTATGTAGGATTGTGTAGGACTGTATGTATGCATGTCTGCATGTAAGCATGCATGCAGCAGCGTGCATGTATGCGGGTAATCAGGTATGTATGCACGTATGTGTCTGTAAGGATATATATATATACATATACACATGTATGTATGTATGTATGTATGTAGGTAGGTAGGTAGGTAGGTAGGTAGGTAGGTAGGCAGGCAGGCAGGCAGGCAGGCAGGCAGGTATGCATGTATGTATTGCAACGAGCAACATGAAGGTTAGGTCTACCAGGGCGCCAGCCCTCTAGTGGCTCCACGTCCGGGAAGCAGCGAAGGAGGTAGCAGTCGCTTCGGAATGCGCAAGATCTGTGGAGAAAGCCCTAGAGAAACCCCAAGGAAACTCCTTGAGTTTACTGCAGCCTGGCCCTGGCCCTGGCAGGCTTCGGCTCCGAGGGCACCAAGAGGGCTGCCGAGGACCTCTTTAAGCCATGGCAAATGACCAGTGCTTTTGGAGTCATATCTTTAGGGTATTTTGCGGCGTCTGGTGCTCTTCTTCTTGCAAACTGGGCCGTGCTTCAATTTTTTTTTAGGAGGGCAGGCCCGAATCTCGGATGTGGGTCAGGATGGTCAGGAAGACCAGAAGGTGGATGACCGCACACTTCCGTAAGAGCCATCTTGTGGCTGCATAAGGCGGAGGTAGTACATGTGGATCCGGGTAGAGGCGCTGGAAGGTAAACTCGCACATCTTGAGCCCATGGTCGGTCGCCTATCGTCAACTGAACTTGACAGAGACGAGGGCACGGGCTGAGGATGCAGACCTTGAGCTTGAGGATTTCAGAAGCTAGCAATGCGCCTGGAAAGGTTTCAGTAGAGTTGATCCAGTTCCGATGCGGAGTCTGGATAAAGGCATCAAGCCTGCAGCGAGAGCCAGGAAGATGAGGAAGACGAGGACGAAGAAGATGAGGACGACGTCCTGCCTCCCCCGTCGCCTGCCGGAGCCCCGGAAAGAGCTGCTAGTCGCTTTCGAGCGGTAGCTTTCTCCAAAGTTTGCATCCTAAGCATCTCGTCCGAGGTTGTGCAACCAATTTCGACCGAATCCCTTGCCGCGAGTTTGCAGGACAGATTTCTGACAATGGCTCTCATGCCCCACTTGTTCGACAGATGGCATGCGGTGTTCCCGGAGGATATGATTCCCAGCAGTGTGCCAGCCTCGCATCAAAACGACTGTGGGTAAAGGTGTTAGACTTGCGGACTCCTGTCCTGACATTGACCTAGTATGTGCTGGAGACACGAGAGCTCAGAATCCAGAAGACTTCAAGGTGCTGAGCAACTTGCTGCTTCTGCTGGGGAACGGCATCTCTTCCACGCCGCAGACATCTGTAGTCGTGGCTGAGGTAGCGGACTTTGCATTGCGGGCAATGTTGGGACTGTGGACAGCGGGTGTTGGGGAGATCTGTGATGCAGGAAACGTCTGCAAAGAGAAGTCACTGCACACATCATGTCGAGTTTGCACAGGAGAGCCTGTCTGTTTGCAGGTGCTCTACATCCTCTCAGTCCTGACCAATTATTCGCACAACTTCACAGAGGAGGTCTTGAAACAGGACATTGCAAGTCGGCAAGACGAGCACTTGGGTCGAAGTGAATTCGAACCCGGAACGCCGGAAACTATCTGCTGGTCTCGCAGGATATCTGTGGCCTGCTGGGAATGATGGTGCTAGGCTGGCTATATATGAGTGTGCTAAGCGCATGCATAGAGATTGTCAGTCCACAGCACTCCTTGGCATCGCCAGGCATGGACTTGGTCGGAACGGGTGTGGGCTCTGCTCAGGCCTGCAGTGCTGGTGTACGAGTTGATGCGTGTGTCTGTGGGGTCACCGTTGATCTTCACGGTTGCAGGGAGGCTTCTGTCCGCGAGAATGAAGCAAGCTATGTTTGCTGAGCATGATCATGTCAGTTAAACGGTGTCATTGCCTCCAGAAAACGCCCGAAGACTCACATCCTGTAGCTGCAGCTCCGACAGCAACAAACTGCGAAAATACAATGCCTTGGGCCTTGACCGTGTTGGGCTACTTCGTAGCAGTAAAGGCGGCAAGCATGCAGGTAGTCGTAGGCAATGCAAGAGGGCATGGTCGAGCACAGGTTTAGCATGTACGACGAAACCCCAAACCTCAGCAATTCCGCAAGGAGCTAAACATCAATGCAGTGTGGAGACAGACGAGCCGCGAATCTCGAACGCCGTGGGATGTGTTGGAAGTTGTGACCTCGGACCACTCCAAAACCAAAGTCACTCGAGTACCACGTCAAAACCACTCAAAGAGCAGTCCAAGTGTACTACGAAAGCCAGTTTTCCAGCCAGACCAGTGGCGATGCCGGTACGATTTGTGTACTTTCAACGTCGACTCTACTACCACGAATTCCTGTGCGTCTTCTGCAACTGAAAGCGGCGTGTCCCAGCCAGACCGCGAGGCACTAAAGCAAGAGCCACGCGGCCTTGACGGGACTGTGGGCAGAGCACAATTTGGATGCAACGCGCAACTACTGGGTTTTGCAATTCCCCTTCGCTTGCACCCACCAGGCGAGCACAGAAAGGAAATGCGAATTGCAAGTCCCCGAGTCCCGAGCGCGAGGCAACACCTAGCTACGAGATTTTGCAATTGCTTTTGGCTTGCTGGCCGCAGAGTTTCAAAACAGCAGCCCCGGGACCTGCACATAGAATTTTCCAGTAGCTTGAGCCCCAATGCGAGAGCCGAGTGCAGCGGGGGTCCTCCCGCTTAATGCCAGGCAGCTCCCAGTCTAAATACCAATTCTTGGAGAAGAACAGCATTGTCGCACTGGACCTGCATGTACCGTCCCAGAAACAAGGGCTGCACTCTGGGGTTCAGTGAGAGTAGGCCTTCGTCGATGTTGCCTTGCCTGCAGGGCAGCTCCCTGCTGATTCGGGTACTGGCGCTGGTGGCCTCAGTTGCTTGGCAAAAATTTGGACAAGCAGGGCTCGTCCCCTAAACTTGCTGTAGTCTCTTCTCGGAGTCAGAAACAACATTCTTCCTATGTTGGGTTCATGTGGGTTCCGTGTTCGTTCGTCCTTGAAAGAAGCTGGAGTTCGGGAGCTGTCTGAATGAAAGGTATCAGAGCTGGTTAAGGAAAGGCTTGCTCGGGCAAGAGGTCCAAGGGGCTTAAGCAGGCAGCCTTTGTCAGTGCTCTTCCGTGTGTATCCGCTGAAACTGCGCTGACTGGAAAGCGGTTGCTAGGGTTTTGCAGCAGTGGCGCTTCGTTTTATCGCCGCGAGGTCATGCCATCCGTCCTTCTGACGGAGTCTGGCTGCGTGTGCGAGGCTGCGCTCGGGAACACATGGCTAGTGACGAGTTGAAGGCAAGCGGTCTTGGATGTCTTGGAAAGGAGCGTCGACTTATGGTCTTTCGGCAACATCCCGAATTTCTGGACGTGACTGCCTTGAAGCATCTGATCGCAACTGCATGTTCCAGTATCAGCTTTTTTTGGTAGTCTGTGCCGTGTGTCCTGCAAGGCCTTGAGCAAGACCTTCCTTCCAATGTTGATCGACATCTGCCAGGACCGCCCATGGGCTCCCCCTCGCCATCATTTATGGGTCTTATGGGGTTGAGTCTTTGAGCCCGTGGTCCACGGACGATGTCGCAAGGCTTCCATGGATCCGTCTGTGCAGTCGGTGTGCATCTCCCTGCTTCTCACCTTTTCTCTAGCCAGACGGGGCCTCAGAGTCTTGCAGGGAAAATGGCCTCTTTGATCTGCGATCTGTACTTGAGGTCAGGAGAGGCCCGAGCCGGGGGCTCTTCTTTGCTTTACTCACACCGCATTTGCCGACTCTTGGCTCCGAGGCTGCAGAAGAACTTGGAGCCGGTTCAGCTCGCGAGCTTCCTCGCAGCTCAGCTCAGACGGACCTCCGAAACTCGAAACCCGTCCCGGGCTCTGTCCTGCGCGCTGCTCTCTCTAAGGCCAGCTTGCTTCTAACGGAACCATCGACCTCCGTGACGCTCTCTTGCCTGCACCGCCGCCCTGTCTTTGGAATTCGCAGAGCCCGGTGCAGCATGCAGCATTTCCCCTGCCCGGCTCTGGAAGGTTGATCGGCGAGCAGACCCTGCGGCACCACTACGACGTCTACGTGCTCCGGCCTCAGCAGCGCCTCTGCCAAGTTGTGAGGAGGCGATATATTTTCGCTCCACATGCTCGACGTTGACCACCCAGGCTGCATTTCATTCGGCAGGGTGTTCGTCAGGCAATCAGCAATCAGGCGCTGTTAGCGGTGTGACTGCCTATTGTCAAAACTCAGGTTGTTGTGCTGTCCTCGTTCCTTGTGGAGGGTATTGAACAGAGAGCGTGGATTGTACAGGCATCTGCCGACTCCGAACAGCCAAGTCAGGACAAAGTTTCAGAAGCCTTTCGATGAAGCTTGCCATCCGACGACACGCACGTACCTTTCTCAAAACCGGAAGGGAAGACAAGAGCCTTCTTGAGGAGCCGGCCGAGGCCACAGCTGCAGAGGCTGCGGGCGCGTGCCGGGCTCAGCGCCAAAATCTTGAGTTTGCCTGGCCCAGCGTGTTCTGATTGTGTTGCATGTAGTGGCCGTTTCTTGAGGACATCTGCTGCAGCGCCATCCGTAGGCAAGCAGCCCAAGAATGTTTTACAGCCTCAGCCTCAGCCGTGGTAATGAAGTCGTCTTGACCCAGGAAAGTTGCTCCGCAGACTCTGCAAGGAGGCTGGTTTGTTTGCCGCTTTGGGGGGAGCTTGGAATGTGCTAAGGGGCCGGGTGTTGTCTCCGTCCAGGTGGCACAGCGCACCCTTCAGAATCATTTCGTAAGGTGCTTAGTACCTCAAGTTAGCTTCTGTGGCAGCAAGAGCTTTTCATTCGCTGTCGACTTTCCCAGGATTCACGGACTGCCGTTGAGATGGTGGTTCTAGATCGACTCAAGGAAGTTGTCATGGCCTGAGAGCATCCTGAGACAGTCTTTGGTCCTTTCGAACTCGAAAACCAGGCTGAGCTACTGGAGTCGCAGACCTCTGCAGCGCAGGCGAGGTGACGGGCGAAGCATCGCCACGCATCTCACTGTACTCCTGGTACCGGCAGCGAAGTAGTGCTGTCTCGTGAATCCCTGCTCTTCTAGTCTTGTAGGCTTTGCAGCAGCTGCGCAGTCTGCTCCTGGCCGAAGAGGGCGTGACGGCGTTTGAACTAACGTGCAGTGGCCTTCCTCTCATGTTTTCGTTGATGCTCAGACGAGTCGCAACAAGAAGAAGCCAGGTGTCTCAAGTGCAATGTCCGCCTACCTCTTCCCTGAGTGCCATTCCCCTGGGGAGCGGCATCTGCAAAGTCAAACCATGCTGGTGCCGATACCCTGTTCTCGCTGGTACAAGGTGATGATGCTGATGTCTTCAAGGAGCGGCTGAGGCAACGAGAGTAATGTGTATCCTTTCGAGCCTCGCTTTTGCAATGCAAGCCTGCTCAGGCTCTTCCTGGAGCACATTGTCACGCCACCAGGAGGACGTGGTCTCAGTAAGACCAGTGTACGCATGAATCTCGACTCAGAAACCCGCTTTATTCGCTTTAATTCATGTCGGAAAGGCGCCTTGCAGAAGTTGGTGAAGCTCTGCCAGATCCCCAGAATTCCAGAGGTGGGACTTGGCTCTGAGTCTTCTTAGCAGTCTTAGCATTTCTCTCTCTGAGGCGTTTCCGTGCTTCAACGAGTGGAGCAGGGCCCGCTGAACCTCTTTCCGACGCAGGCATCTCCGGCTGGGGCCCGAGAGGTTTTGGGTCCTCAGTCTGGTGACAAAAGGCACCGAGAGCAGTGTGTCACTGACAGGCCATGTATCTGCCCCAGCACCTGCTACTCGCAACTTCTCAGCGCTAGGCTCAGCATTCTACTTCTTGCCTCAATTCTCCGAAGCTGTGCTGACATCCGCTAGCAGCCGACCCGTCCCTTGCTCACGTCTTACGTTGCCGCAATTTGGGATCAAAAGCGCCAGTGGCGGGACGAGACATCGGAACTCTGGCTGCGGTCTTAGGACCACAGCGTCGTCCTGACACGCCTGACGTGATCTTCTGTTCGTCGGCGATTGGAGTTCGCCGAGGTTTTGAGGGTGCCGCTGCGCTGAATTGGACAACCATGCCGCTTATTGCCCCGAAAGATGCGGCTCCCGTGACGTTTCTGCAGTATTCTTTGTCTGATGTGTATATCCACTGTGATCGGCCAAGCGCCAACTCGCTCTTTCCTGGCCAAGGTGAAAATGTCGGCCAAGATGGCCCCGGAGCTTGAGCTGTTTGTTGTGTGCGGCTGGGGCTGCTTGGCTTCCAAAAAGGTTGATAGTTTTGGCCATGTGCTGCCTGTCCCTGTGATGCTGGCTGACTATGTGTTAACGCACTGGAAGGCAAATGTCCGAAGCGGCGGCAGCCCCAGATGTCCCTGCCGCCCAAATGACACCCAAGGGGCATGTTGCGTCCAAAGGTTGGAACGCGCCATGAAGAGGAAGCCCAACGTAAACTACAAGAACGAGGAGGGCACTGCCCACTGATCCCAGACCTGTGTATTCGCCCTCTGCGTCTCCTGTAGGACGGCTTGACACCTCTCTTCAACGCCACCATGTGTGGCTCTGCTGACTTTGTCGAGAAGCTGATCAAGGCTTTGTGCGTGTGTTCCTTGAATGGGCTTGGCAGAGTACTGCAACGCCGCAGTTGAACTCGAGGCCGGCGCGGAGCCCAACGTGGTTGCGACGGAGTACCTGCTGACGCCGCTGGAGTGGGTCACTGCAACGGTGGTTGCAGTGAGAGGGTGTGTGCAGTTCCAGTTCAGGTTTCCTTGCACGATCTTGGACTCTTGCATGTTTTGTCTTGGGCTGGCGGATTGCGTTAAATAGGAAGGCACCACCTAACATGGCCGTTGGTTGCTTTCGTGTTGTGACCTCCGACATGTGCCAAGGCTAAAGTCAACTATGATGAAGAGCGGGATCGGCGGTTGAATGACTTTGACCAGGCAGGATGCTTCAAGCAAAGATCTTCAACTTCATGCCAGAGCTTTCGAGGTAAACCGACTGGATGACACCTGCTTGGCCGTTCGACCAGATATTGAGCCCTTCCGGAAAGTGAAGCAGGTCGCAAGGGACTGCACAACTGTATGAGTCTCCTCCATGGTCACTGCAGTATCCATCTCGGAAGGTGTTGGAGAGAAACGGGGGTGTTGAGGCGAAAGCCTTTTCCAACAATCCGAAGATCAAACCAGCCCCTCGGAACGACTTACGGACACTTCCCCTTTGTGGGACCACGGGGCATGGGCTTGAGGATGGCTCCATCGATGGAGGCAAGCCATCGGAGCTTAGATCCTACAAACTGCCCCTTGTCCGCACCACCGCGCGTGACAGACGCCAAGCGAGCAGCCCGGCTTCTGAGTCTTTGCCGGGACGAGGTCGGCAGATGGTTCCTACACTGCTTCGCATTACCTCCGCTCGGGCAAGTTCGATATGTTGAAGTACGAGGCACGAGAAAATTGAGTCAATCCGTGACCTTGAACGACCTTGACAGCTCGAGGATGGCCGACTCGTGGAGTGCGAGTACGACAATGGCTCAGTTTACAGACGTGACACGATGAGGGCACACCCCAGTCTGTGTTTCAAAAAGCCCGCTCTTGGCATTGGCTTCAGGATCCGAAGACGGGACACTGGGAAGGCTATGAGGCAGCTGCCGCAGCGACGGCATGAACGAGTGACGGAGAGCTGACCGCCGGCGCAGTGTGGGCTCCCGTTTCGGTCGCCAGGATCCATACTGTGAACAGGCTGAAATTTGCACGGTTCCCTTCTTCCTTGACCAGACTCTGGAGACCAGAACCGCCCTGCAACAGATCAGAAGGCCGCGTTGCGGAACAATCATCCCTTGCAGATGTAAAGTAGTTTTGGTACCTACTTGGTGTTTCAGGACAGCAAAATCCTGCTGTTGAGCCAGAAGTATGGCCCACTGATCTTTGTGTGTCTGCTGTTACAGGGTTGTGACCTCTAGTCGCGTGCCTTGAAAAGCTGCAGCTGAGAGAAGAGACGAAGTCATGGGAGGCTCTCATGAGGCTACGATTGCCTCTCTCTCTCTCTCTCTTTGCGGTGTTTCTCGTCTCTCGCTTTGTGTTGCTCTTGCCTTGATGTGTGTGTTGAAAAATGAGCCCTGAAAGAGCAAAGGGCGGCGGATGCTCGGAGTCGGCGGGTGGACCCGATGGACAGCCTGTCGGCTGCCCAGCTGGCTCTGACATCTCCTAATGACATCTCCCAACTCTTCAGTCCTAAGCTTCAAGCCAAGGAGACTGTCCAGCTCCCGATCCGGCGTAGGCGCCATGTTGGCGAACACAGTGAGGCGCTTTCCTTTGAACCTTAACCTTCGGTCTGTGCTTGGAAGGCTCCATGTCGTCACCGCTTCTGTCCGTGCTTCGGCTGTTGGCGAAGCCGGTCAAGGCTGCAGGGTTTGCGGGATCCACAAAGGTTTGGCCGAGGGCCTAGGCCTTCTTTCGAGAATACACCTGGGCTGGGCCAGGACAGTGTGCCTTTTAAGTGCTTGCGCTGTGCCATGCTGTGCCATACGGATATCCAGAGGATAGCAGATGGAGCAAGGCATCAATGAAGTCTGTCTTCAGCTTGCTCCCCAATCTGAGTGAATTATGCAGAGCACCGACATGCATGGACCCCATGATTATCCTGCATAGCTGCATAGTAGATTGTGAGCACCATCACGAACAGTTGCCAGCATGGTGCCATGGTCTGAGTCTGCTGTCTTGCCCACTGGGCCGGAATGGTGGAACTCTACGCGCTGCCTGCACTAAATGCCTTCTGCCCGGTCGTCGCAAGCGAGCTCCAGAAGCCGCCAGAGCTCAAGCGGGCTTTCGCTCCCGGCTTCCAAAGATGCGTCGCAGGAACTTGGCCAGGAAGTGGCCACAAGCGAGAAAGAGCTCCCTGCCCCGCCAAGCCCACCTGCAGGGACTTGGCAGTCCGACAAAGAGGACTCGGCCGATGCTGAGCCGTCATCGGCTAGCCAGGGAGCCCACGGAGTGCGCGAAGTGGAAGAGGCGAGCGAAACCTTGCCAGGGCAGCCCGATGAGGAGCCGCAATGGGCAGGCCATGCCTCCATAGAAAGTGAATTGCCACGACCTGCCGAGGATAACTTGGCTGGAACTCGTGATGCAGATGAAACATTACAGAGACCCTTACAAGTGCACCCCCCCGAGCTGGAAGAGGAATCGCCAGGACCTCCGGCTCACCGGCTGGACTCCTTTCACATGGATCTCTCTGATACAGAGGATTTGCCAAACACGGAAGTCCGCGTACCGGTGAGCCCTCTGAGCGATGAGGCCTACGAGGGCTATGGAGTTTATTCGTCCATGGTGCGGTTCTCAGATCCGGGCTCACATTCGCGTGAGTCGTTACCTGCACTCCTGGACCATGCAGCTAACCCACATCAGCCTCCCTCAGAAGGGAGTTCCTCCGTGAATCTGAAGTCCAAATTCAAATCCAGCCGCATGACCACAAAGTCTTTGGGATCTTTGGACATCCGGCGGAATGTCTCGTCGCCTGTGCAAGGGAGCTCGTCCCGAACGCTTGGCCAGAACATGCAGTCCGCACGAGCGGTCCGTGACCTGATTCCTTCAGCTGAGATGGCACGCCGATCGCTAACAATAAATTCTGGCAGGTTATCCCCCGCCAAGCAAGATGCACCCGAGCTTTCCAGAGGCAGCAGCTTGAAGCAACTGCGCCCGGTCACGTCCATAAGACCTCCGAGGTCACGCCCAGTTTCCTGGGTTGATCGGAAGCAGCATGTAAGCGAAGTCCGGACAGCCCAGATGGATTTAGGCTGGGACATGGAGGGTCACCTGCCGGACCTGTCATCTGCCGCACCGGGCTTCCTGTCACAGGCTCACCTGCGATCCGAGGAATACTGGAAGGACCTCCTTGGAATCGACGACGAAAGTATTGCCACCTTCAGCTTTATCCAGAGTGATCTTTGTGGCAAGTTTATGGCCACATGCATCATTGTCTTTGTGCTGGTGGTCGGTCATCACGACACGGATCGACTGCCAAACTGGGGATCAGAACTTGTACACTTCATTCTGGCGATAAGCTTGATCGAGATCGCAATGCATATCTGCAACCACTACCAAGGAGCACCGTACAAGAAGCCTGAAGACAGGACGATCCTCTTTCTGGATACCATTGCAGTCTTGGTGTCCTGTTGCGAAATCTGGATCTTCCCTGTGGTGCTGGGCCCAAGCCTGCACTTCTCGCGAATGGTTTGGCTTATCAGGTTCCTGCGTGTGATTAGCATGATACCGTCCTTGCGTGAGCTAACTTTGGGTGTGCTGGATGCTCTACAGGGCCTGTTCTGGGTGCTGATGTTCCTCTTCATCTTCGTCTACGCCCTTGCAGTCGTGCTGACGCGTATGATAGGGCACCACGAGCGGAGTTCGGACCCAGACGTCCAGGAGGTGCAGGACATGTTCGCGAACGTGGGTAACAGCATGTTTTATCTGTTTCAGCTGACCAGCCAGTGGAGTCTGGTACCTCTCTTCCCTCTCCTGAAAGCTTCTCCTGCAACCTGTGTGGGTTTCACTTTGTTCTACATCTATTCTGGCTGGGTAATTGTTGCCGTGATGACGGGAACCGTGAGTTTCACTATGATTTCCTTCAAAGCGCGCATGGTGCAGGAAGACGAACTACGAGAGGAAGAGAAGAGAGTCTTTGTGAAGCAAGTGCTTGAGGACATTTTCCTTGCCCTGGACGAGGATGGGAACGGAGAGCTGAGCTACGAGGAATTTCAAGCACTTCTTCGGTCCAAGGAGGTGCTGTTGCTGCTGTCTGACAACACGGACATCAAAATCCAGGACCTGGAGGACATGTGGCAGTGGATTGATACAGACAAGAGCGGCTCGGTAACCATCGTGGAGTTCTTCGAGGGCTTCGAGATGCTCAACGAGCCCTTCAGACAAAAGACCCTTCTGAAGGCTCCCGCCGTTTCTTTCTAGGCCTTTCTAGTCCTAAACACTGTAGATCCCTGCAGGTGCAGGAGAGGATCTCTGGAGAGATTCAAATCACCTCAAAGCGGCTGCTGGAGCTCGCCATGGAGAGTCTGGATGCCTGCTGCCACAGCATCTACACACCCATGAACAAGATCCACGCAGTCCTAGAGCAGGTAAGGTGATCTCACAAAGCTTCAGACCCAAGAGCTCACTCAGCATGATGCAGCTCCCGTGCGGCAGAGCAGGTGCAGATCCAGCTACTCACTGCCCTGAGGCTAAAACACCAGGCGGCTTGGCTGGACCAGCATGACTTGTAGCATAGAAGCATGTCTGTGCGAAGCCTTGCGTCCAGAATCGTTCTTTCTTTTTCAAGTTTTTTCCGCTGCTCACGCAAGGTTGGCCTCGTGCCTGTGAATGCGCAGACAGATGAGGACTCGGCAGTGGCCGAGGTTCTGATTGGGGCCGGGATGCAGGCGGGGGGATCAGAAGGCGGTTCCCCCAACCAACACACCTTTCGCAAATGCACTTAGTCTGACATTTTCTCACTTTTTCCTCTGAGGTTCCGGAAGTGGTAAACTCTTTGGCCAGCCTCGAAGCCCGCTTGGAGATGCAGGAGTCTGGAGCTGGGAATTCAGAGTGCGCTTTCAGGGTTGTCTTCATGTGCTCGCAACATGCCAGCTAGATTACCGAAGCCCTGTGCCCAAAGTCTGCTAAGCGAGGTAATCGAGTGCTGTTTGGTGTTGGGTTCGCGTTTCAAGGCTAGATCCCATGTGGGAGGACTCACCCAGTACTACTCATTACTACCATGCTTCAAGATCTGCCAACCCTGATCTGTCCCTCCAGATGTTGGAAGCCATCGAGCGGATCAACAACTTCCGGGCCGTCAAGACCCAGCGGCATCTACGCTGGTCTCAAAGCTCGCACGATCAGTTCTGAGCTCACATCACCACAGGCCTTGTTCGCTTCAAGTCTCCTCACTTTCGGTGTGCTTGAATTTGTGCAATCTGTTGTCGGGCGATGCTCCCGGCCTTTGGCATGGCTTGCACTTGCGGAAAGCTCATGTAGTTTGCATGCCGAGTCTAGTTCGATGTTGCTGGCGACGTGACAAGTCAGCCCACGCACTGAAACTTGGTGCTTTGGCGAACTTCAGACCAGCTAAATTCTAGCCCCTCTTCGTCTCACGCGCACCAAAGCCAGCAAAGACTGCTGCTTTGTCATGTTAGTGCCCTCCACGGAGACCAAGGATTGTCTCCATGTGTGTTGTCCATAAGAAAAAGTTTCGGCCATGGCTTTCTACAACGATGTTGGCTTACGACAAACAGTTGGGATGCTGGAGCGGAGCAGACTGTCGGGAGGTAGCCATCAAGGGAAACCTTTCTCAATCCTCGTCCGCAGTCAGCTCCGGTAGTGTCTGCAAGTTTCCCATCCCAGCATGACTGTTCCCAAAGTGAGGATGGCCGTCAAGCAGACTTGAAGCAGTTATTCCCGACTCGTGAGTCTGAGAGTCCAAGAGAACTTGTCGACGCCAGATTCGGATGAGCCCGCGGGGCTCCAGCTCCGGTGTGTCGCCGCTGAGTGCGCCACATGTCTCAAACTCGTAGCCCCAGTTGGGTGCAGGGTTTAAAGGGCTGAACGCATGGGATCCCACGATGTCTTCTGTCGCCGCGCCGCGCGTTTTCATCAAAATCCCTGGTAGAGATGGAGTCGGCAGATCTTTCCAGAGGATTTTGCAGAGCCGACTCCAAGGTCGCTTCCCAACTTCAAGTCCTTGCTGGTGCCCTTCGGAGGCCCCCAGAGAGCTTTTCCCTCGAGGTTGTGTGTTTTGCAGTGTACGGAAGCCAGGCCTCTCCGAAGGCGGAGCAGAGGGCAGAAACAAGGCCCGGGCGCTCCCGAGGCTCGCGACTTTTGGAGCTCAGAAGCCCCTCCAAGGCGGTGGCGAAGGCGAGCGCGCTCATCGGTGGAGGGCTCGCTCCTCAGTGCGACACCGCGAAATGCAGCCCTGGCCCCTTCGTGCGATTTAGTGCCTTCATGAGAGTCCGAGGCCTGGCAGAGTGCCAGCTGGCCCGCGATCGGCACCACTCCCAGAAATTCGAGACTGCCCTTAGGCCTTTTGTTTTCGAGAATGCACACGCGTGGCGACAGAAACGTCAGGGGCCGGGTGTGGGCGTGTCCGCGGCATCCCCCGCGGTCTGGCGCTGAGCTTAAGCGTCTCCGAGCTTTCGAGGCCTTGTTGGGATCTGAGGCCCGCTTGCGGAACTATCTGGCCTCGAAGGTGCGCCGATGGGACAACTGTCAGTGCCCTTCCTGCCGACTCTCTGTTGCCTTTGCCTGCGAGGTTACCCGGAAACGCGGCGGCGGTGTCGTCAGCCCTCACCTCAGCAGCTCCAGTACACGTTATAGTCATGCTAGTTGCTCATGGTTCTCTGTTTGTTGGAACTCAGGGCTCCCCCAAGATTGTGCATGAAGCAATGCAGCCGAGGTGGTGGAGTCTTTCGCTCTGAAGCGAAGCCAGCCGCCCAAGGACACACGCAGTGGCCATGATGCTTGTTTTCATAACCGTTGTTGTTGAAACTCTCGCCGCATCAGGTCCGGAGGTCCTGGAGGTTGCTCCCCGAGACTCTTCAAGATTTTGGACTCATGGCATGGCGAACTTGTGCCGTCCCTAGGTGATAGTGCCGAGGACGGAGGCCAAATCGCGGCAATCCGGGATCACACTTTGGATTAGTTGGATGAGTCTTTTCGAAGAACACAGGTCCCGTCGCACGGGCCTCCACAGGCGTCGGCATCCCAAGTCGCGGAAGCTTCTTGGCGAGTTCTGGCTTCTTGGCCATGCTGAGGAGGGATCGGGCAGCCGATCCGCACGAGAGCACGAGTTCGAGGTGGTTTCGATCCTGTGTTTGCAAGCTAGGGGGCCCTCGAGGTTCGTTTGAGGTTCGGGGAATGTGGGGCGGATCACAGGAAACCTCTGCGGTGCTTAAACTTCTCTGCCTGGGTCCAGGCGCTGGAGACCGTGCTGCTCGTGGAGCCCTTCGCCCAGGCGGACGTTTTAGCTGGTTTATGCAGGATGCATCCGGGAAGGACCTCTCTAAGAGGCGCTCAGAACCTGCCCGGTCGCAGGTCTCAGCCCTGGAGGACTACATATGGGACAGGCACCTCATGCCGATGTCGCCACGAGACGTGCATGAAGTGTGAAACCCAACTTGGGCAGGCATGGATCAGGAAAGCCTGCAGCCGCCGAAGGCAGGATCAACAGGATTCCTGTCAGAGCACGTCAGAGTACACGGGAGCTTTCTCATGAATCTCGATCACACCTTGTGTTCGATCTTCGTCTTAAAGCGAAGGTGCGGAGACTGGCACAAACAGCGAGCCAGCAGCACGAGTCCGACTGTTTGCTTCTCAGTCCGTGTGGCGCAAGTCTGCAACGCTGCGGGGATGGACGCTCTGCTCACCCAGGACGACCAAGCAGCCACCTCCCGGACAAGCAACATCCAGAGCCTTGAACCGAGATTCGGGTTGAGTTGTTTGCCCGGTCCGATACCGCTTGCATAAAAGAGGTGATAAAGAGAAAGAGCCGGGAATCTCAATGACTGCAGACCAGCTGGGCCTGTTTCAGGCAAGAGCCAAGGGAGGCGAGCTTGGAGATGCTGCGAAATCTGCCCGGATTCCCTGGTGCATCCTTGTGCAATGTGATTGTCAGAGGCTTTGCATCTCTTGCAAAAGGCCGTGGAGCCTGGTGCAGCGTCGCCGCCCGCAGTGCCTGTGGATGCACCCGCGGCGCCTCCTCCTCTGGGCCAAAGCTCCTCCCAGGCAGTACCCTGCGGACATGTACCCAGATGCACTTGCAGACTGTCCGTGGTTGTAGTGTCCAGTTCAGCCCTGGCCCAGGGAGGCGACACGCCCTCTTCGAGTGCTGAATGCTCAGTCAAAGTGTGCGAATCAGGGAGTTCTCTGCAGTGCCCTAGCTGCTGTAGCAAGGGCACGCATGTACCCATTCTGATGCAAGATGACTTCGACGAGCTTGTCTTTGTGATTCTATTTCTGCAGCATCGTCCATGCCCTCAGGCTCAGGCACCGGCCTCAACAGAGCTTTGCCCTCAGCATGCTCTTGCCGTGCCTGCATACCGAAAGCCGAAGACTGGGGCTGCGATGAATGAGGCGACGGAAGCAGACAGCCGGCTCCTGGAGTTTCTGCTGCCAGACATTCTCATGTCATCCCCTTCTCCAGGTTCGCATCTTCTACAACGGCCACCAGCTCACTGCCAAAGAAAGCGTCCGGGCCTCGCTGCCACATGAATTGCATAGGCTTCGGCAACTGGCTTGTCAATTTCAGGTGGTGCAGGTGCTGGTCAACAACCCCAAAAAGGCGTCACCGGTCCTTGAGGACTCCATGTCAGCATCCTTGAACTTCGCACGCTCCATGCCGGAAGCCGTGGCCGTGAATATCGCCTTCTCTCCGTAGTGCTGTGTGCTGAAAGTTGATGGCTTGATCTGGGCTGTGCGCAGCTATGCACAGATGGATACACCAAGCGGTCCTGCGGACCGTCGTCAGGAGCTGGGCAAGACAGCACGTCGAAGACAGTCAAGGTGCCCTTCCTTTTTAAATGTGGCAGAAAAGCACCGGAAGTGAGAGCACGGCTGGCGGGATTCTCCTTAGCGGAGGCGCTCTGTCGGCGGCCGCTTCTTGGCCTCCATGGAGGCGGCAGCAGTGCCTGGAGACTGGAGACCACCTTCTCTCTTTTTCCCGTCAACAGGAAAGCTCTGGCTCAGACGGCGAAGGCAATTCAATAAAAATAATAGTAATAAGTGACAAGAAGGATTTGGGAAACCATTTGGAACGCGCCGCAGGTTCGCCTGGCAAAGCCAACGCCAGCATCCGAGAATGGCTGCACGGCCTTGCCAGGACAACTAAAGATGCAAACTCGGTCTGAACCCTTTCGAAGGCTTCTCGACACTTCTTTTGTGGCTCCATTTGGGGCAAAGTCAGTCGCCCAGGAAGTAATTTGACTGCTCCTACCGGTCGTGCTACAAAGTCCAGGTGCACCACATGACCTTCGAGCTGGTGCCAGATCCAACATCACCACGCGAGGGGGGCGAGAGCTCGAAACCAGAGGTGCGCAGTTTGAGTGGCAGCACCCCGGTTCGCATTGGTTCCTGATGCTATCTAAAGGAGCAGCAAGTGGATCCGCCAGTGATGATTGTCCCGAACGAGATGGACTGTCTAGTGGAGTGCTTGGCATTGCGGAAGCTGGTAAGGCAGCAGGCTGTGAGGGCAACCATGGAAGCTTGGGCAGCTTCTTTCCAATATTTGTGCTACACAATTGACAAAAAATCAGTCGCTGTTCTCTCCCAGCAATATCTATTGTTCTCGGGCAGCGTCGGTTCGCACAGGTAGGGTCGGCAATTGCGATAGAGCACAGCGAGAACTTCAACCATGAAGAAGCGGTATGCTGTGATGCGGCATCGCAAATGCCTGGCTGTGATGTGGCTTTTCTTTACTTTACCTCCCTGGGCTGGCGGATCAATCGTATGGTTTTGATGGTGCACACAGCCGACATGGGCATACGAAGGAAGACTCTATTGACGATCACCTGAAAACTCGAACCAGAGATACATTCTGTGCAGAGGGGAAAGTGAGGAGTTAGTTAAGTTTGCCCTTGAGATGCCCAGAGCCTTGTCAATGAACGTCCAACCTTACTTGGTGGCTGTTGCTGCTTGGTGCTATGTTTGTGTGCGGCCGTGGTGACAAAAGGGCAAGCTTGAACACTGCAAGAACGAGGTGCAATGCCACACTCGTGTGGCTCCGAGTGTGGCCGGAATCTGTGATGCAGGCGGGCCGCTGGGCTTGTAGCTGTAGCTTGGGTAGTGTAGCACGTGGGGCGTAGGAGTGTGGGAAGGACTGACAAAAGATGATTTGTGCAAGAAATGTGAGGTGGCGGAGCCAACAAAGCTGCCGACCCAGATCCGCATGACCCGGTGGAAGAGTTCAGTTCAGAAATGCCTCCGACCTGGCCAAGGCCCCGAGCTTTGCACAGGAGACGGAGGTTCCCCCGCAGTTCACCCGCAGCTTTCTGAAGCGCGCAGCAGACCTGTTTTTTTTTTGCCGGGCCAGACCGTCACGATGCTGCAGCTGCTCTCTGCCTTTCACAACATCAGCCTCTACGATGCTGCGACTTCGGGTGTCGGTGTCTCAGAGTCTCGAAGTCTCGAGCCCTTGCGAAATCCTTAGTGCCAGGTCAACATGGGATCCGCGTCTGAGGATTTCCACTGCAACACTCTCACGCCGGCACCTTAGCTGCGCAAACTGCACCTTCTGCATTCATTGAAGCTTGAAAGTCTCAAGCACACACTATACGCACTCAACCAGTGTGTGTAGAAAGCCGTGACAAGACGTTTGTAGAATTTTGTAGATGTCAGGAATGCAGTCAGGGATCTTAAATTCACCATTCTCGGACTCGGAACGGATCTCAAGCACCAATTCCAGCGCCACAGAAGATGCAGGCTACTCAATATGCTCTGATGATATCAGCAGCCTAGATGGCTTCATGTGCATCGTTTTTCGGACAGAGAGAAGGAGTCTCCGTCGCACATTGGTCAACGCAGGGTTGGCATTGGAGCGTGTCGGTGGGAAAGATTTCGTGAGTCCGACAGCCGCGGCACATCTCTTCAAGTCCTGACAATTCGATCTGCTCGCTAGGTCTTAGGTGGTTCGGTTCGTTGCGATGGGTTGTTACCAGCTGGACTGAAGTTCTGAATGGGCTTGCATTCGCAGGTGCAACCGATACAAGTCTCGATTACCCTTCCCTGGGCAGAGAATTCAGACAGCTTTGAGCTGTTGCTGGGCAGCGAGAGCATTCTTGTGTGCTCCGCTGCTGTGCAATATGATTCAGCGAGATGTCATGCACGAAGGATCCTCGTAGGAATCGGGACATTTGAGGTTGAAATATCACCGGAAGGGGCAGAGGTTTTCGTGGGCCGGGTCGTGGACAATTCCGGAACACTGTCACGCTTTAGGAAGGGCCAGGTGACGCTGCGACTCACTCGCGAATGGAAGCACGGTGACCTGAAAAACCTCGGTGGAAGCTCTTGGGATGTCATTTTGCCCATGGCAGCACCAGAAGGAAATCTGCAACTGCAGGCAATGCCTTACGAAGGTTTTAGCAGCCGTGGTGCAGTCGGAGCCCGTTTGTGGCCTTGCTCCTTGCTGGTCGCAGCATACATCCGGCGGCTGTATGCCTACAACCCTGAACAACTGCGCACACGCCTTCTGGAGCTTGGAAGTGGCAGCGGTCTCTGCGGCCTTGTTGCTGCTGCACATGGAGCCACAGTCGTCCTTTCAGACGGTGATGCAAGAGTGTTGCCGCTGCTTCAGCGGAATGTAGCCGAATATGCCCGGCGGGCGGGTGCTCCCCGACCGCATGTTTTGCGCGTAGACTTTGCCAACACGGCAGATGTCGAGGCAGTGCTGGAGCAATTCGATAGGTTCGACTTTGTCATAGCGTCGGATGTGCTCTACGAACATCGATTGGTCTCGCCCTTCTTTCGTGCTGCTACAAAGTTGCTGCGCACTTCCGAAGCTCTCGAGAAGTCGATCCCAACCATCTTGGTCGCTGTTGAGCTGCGACCTTGTGGAGTGGACTTGGCAGTGGCAATTCAAGAAGAAGGCCAACGTCATGGATTCGCTGTCAGTGACGTGACGGGACAGTTGCGTATGTGGGTTTTAACCCCACCAGATGAGCTGCAAGTACCCCCGATTGAGGAGAGGCACAGGCTTTATGTGGTGAGTGTGCAGCCAGCGACACTAGAACCAGAGCAAGCGGCGAGACTGCGACCTTATCAGCCTTGGCAAGTAGAAGGGAAGGAGGAGTGGTACTCCCGCTCTTTGGAATATTGGTCCCAGCAGGAGGCATCCTGCTGTGGCGTTCTCGGCGGACATCCTGAGACTTCGCATCTTGATCTGGAAGGTTCAGCAGCTTTCTTGAATATGTTGCAGACCAAGAACTTTGATACGGCTCTGGATTGTGGTGCAGGCATCGGCCGAGTCACCGAAGGTTTGCTCCTCCGCCGGTGCACCATCGTCGACTTGCTTGAACCTTGTCGGCAACTCTTGGAGGAAGCACGACGTCGCCTAGGAGGCCATTCCAACAAGAGCTATGGTTCAGCTCGGCACTTCCTGGAACTCTCGCTTCAAGACACGGGCGAACTCCCTGATCGCTACGACCTCATTTGGGTGCAGTGGGTCCTGCTGTACTTGACGGATGCTGACGTTGTCGAAACCCTGCAGCGTCTTCGACGTTCCCTCAGCCCCTGTGGCTTCCTCGTCGTCAAGGAGAACTGCTTGCTGAACAATTCTCCAGGGTGACCTGACTATTTCAATGATGCGTGGCAGGTGTAGCAGGAAGAGTTTGTAGAGGGCTCGAGATAGAAACTTCCATTCAGTTAGGCGAGTTTTCCCCACGAAACTTTAATTTCAGGCTGGTGGACCAGCGGGATGCGTCCATCACGCGATCGGGCAGGTGCATGAGGGATCTTTTCGCCCAAGCAGGCCTGAAGCTTGTCGCAGAGGAGACACAGAAGGACTGGCCCATGAACCTTCTCCCTGTCATGATGTTCGCTTTGAGATGAGGGGCACTAACCAGCAAGCCGTCGGATTTCCGGAGGCCCGAACGGCAAGAAAGACATGTTCGGGGCTTCCCAAGCGGACGGATGCAGAGCAGTTGCCATGACAGAACGATAAGTTCCGAAGTGAAAAAGCAAAGTGTGCACATGCCGCAGCCGGGTGCAACCTAGCTGCATATGACCTGTGATACCCACATCACCAGGTCAGCTTTGCTGCGGCAGCTCTCCGATCCCCTCGCTGTTTGCACAGGCTCCGCGCAGGGTTGCATCACGTGCTGCTAACACGATATGTAAACGCCAGCTGCTGTGCATCAGATTCAGCTTGGTGCTCGGTCAACGATACGTTCTTTTTCCAGCTGTCATGCGTTTGCAGCTGTTAGCTATCGTTTCGCGGTGTACTGTTGCAACCGGTCTGATGCATGGTGATGCATGTAAGAGATGCATGAGAAGTAGTCCGCCTATTGCCACTCTAAGACCTCTACTGTAGCAGGCATCCTAGGAATGGGAAGCCCCAAGTACTATCGGCTGGACTTGGCCAAGCTAGAGGGCCTCTTCAGACCAGAAGTGCCTTTCTCGGCGCCTTGACGTCATCAAGTTTTCACTTCTCGTTCAACCGAGGGCGAGGAGGAGCCAGGAACATGCTGTTCTCTGTGATGAGGAGTGGTGCGTGCACTGCCAGAGCGCTGGCCCGGATGGTTTCCCTAGTGGCTCTCTGCGCGCACGTTCGGCTCCGCCCTTGTCGCGATTGGCGCACTTCGAGAGAATTTGTGGCACGCCGCTTGGAAGCTGCAGAGACTTTTCCTGAAACTTCGACAGCCTCTCAGTATGACTCAAGAAACTTGACGACTGTCGGTTCAGGCTCCTGTACATCAATATCAGCGGCGCGGCCGGTGTTTGGCTGGTGCTATCGCTGCTGGCCTATGCGCGTGGTTGGCCTCGCTGCGCACGACTGCTGATCCTTTACACCTTGTTTCCCTTTGCTTCGTGGGCTGTGCTCTGTCGGATCTTTAAAAGATCCAGGGACGCACGTTATGATTTTCCATACAGGCATCCCGAGCTCTTGTCCATCTTGCGCGCGACCGCACTCGGCAGATCTGATAGACTTGCCTTGCCGCAGGCATCAGCACAGCTACTTGCACATGAAGTATGTGTGGCCATCTGAGCTACACCCGACGAAGAAGGTCAAGGGTCCACTGAGCTCAGTGCAGCAGTTCAATAGCTTTTCAGCCAGGTTGCAGGTGCACCTGTCCAGAACCTGCACTTCATAGGAACCTTCTTCAGAGCTTGCTTCTGTAATTTTGAGAGCCTCCAAAGATATCCGTTTCCTGCGTGCGTATCTGGTTCCGGAATAGCAAAGTTAAAAAGCAGTCAGCGGATTCTCGGGGTTTGTAGGCGGGCTGGTCCTTCCGCCTCCCTCCACCGCAGGTTTGATCCCTCCCCCCCTCCCACCCCGCGAGGTTTTTGGGGTAGAGAGAGGACAAGGGAGGCTTGCCGCCGAACCCGTCCAACACGCCGCTAGGATCGGCTGATTGCCAAGGATCTTTTGTATCGTACCCCACGGCGTTCTGCCCTTTGGCATCGATTACGCCATGATCGACAAGCTTGGTGGTGCTCGATGCAACTGGGTGGCCGCCCCGATTTTGTTCAAGCTGCCCTTCATCCGATGGTACCTGAAACGAGCCGGCGTCATGCCGGCTAAGGCACAGCACATTCGAAACACATTGGCGGGTGGTTCTGAGAATGTTGGGGTGGTTCTGGATGGAGTTGCCGGCATCTTCCAGCCGAAAACGGAGAAGCAGGAAGCGGCGTGGCTTCTACAGCGCAAGGGCATCGTCAAGATGGCCCTGGAGACTGGTGCTTCCCTCGTGCCCGTTTACGGCTTTGGTCACACGTCGCTCCTCAGCCCAATCCTGGCTCCTCGGCGACTCCTCGGTTTGCAAAAGTTTGAGGTCATGCAGGCCGAACACCGAACGTGATCTGAGGATCCTTTCCGCATCTTGGAGCGCATCTCCATCGCCTTGGACGTATCGCTAGTGCTCCCCTCAGCCTTGCAGAAGTGACCGGCTTGTAACTTGAACATGGGGAAGGGTTCCGATCCGTGCAGAGAGGTGCCCTTTGTCGGTCGTTGGGGCTGGCCGATGGGCCCTGCCCGGCGCATACCTGTGGTAATGGCAGCTGGCCAACCGGTGGAATGCCCGCAGACGCAACGTGGCAAGCATTATGCTTTGTCTGTTCTGAAGAACATCAGGCCTGCAAACCTCACTCACCCAGGACCGTCTTTGCTGAAACTGTCATCAGGAGCCAGCCCAAGCAGAGCGAGATTGACTTGTACCACACGCTCCTCCTGGACAGCTTCAAGGACACATTCAACGCGCACAAAGCTGCATATGGATGGTCACAGAAGTCTTTGATCATCGTTTGAGTTTCCTGACACAAGGCGGAAAGAGTGCTTTCTTACCTTGCCCTGTGCAATCGATTAAGCCTGCGACTGGAGGCAGTGAGCCGCAAAATAGCTGTCCGAAGCTGCACGGGATTTGGATAACAACGGGCAATGCGGCTATTCCTCTTGCAAGATCCTGTCTTCTCGGACAAGTCTTTGCAGCGCAGGTTCTGTGCCGGCTTGGTGCGCGAAGCTGGCAGGAGAGCAGGGAGGGAGGCGTTGTGAAAACTCGGCTTTTAAGCATAGCGACTGCGCTTCGAGGAGCTTGCCGATTCCTGTTCCCCTACTCCGTGCGGAGGCGGGGAGCCTCTGCTTTAACGGCGACCTCGAGGGTCTTGTATGTTCTGACAAAGCGATGGAAGGATCCTGCACCATAGCTGCAATCTGGGCCTGGGCCGAGCCCTGCATCACGTACAGCAGCGAGCAGTGGACCAGTCCCCAGTTCCTCTTGTCCGAGCAAAGAGTCGCCTGCGGCGAGCTGTGAGGGCGCCGCTTCTGAAATCTCTTTCTGCGAGGCCCAGCACGCACACAACCAGGAGACACACCGGCGGTAGTGGCCCCGGCCACCCACCATCCTCTTTCTGGGAAGCTGCTTGGCGACTCAGCTCGTGAGGCTAGAAAGCGAGGTGAGCGTCGCAAGTGTGCCCCGCCAGAAGGCTGGCAAAAAACATGTCTGTATCTATCCCTATGTCGATGTTGCATATCTGCCTGTCTAGTTGCATGAAGCTTGTCTAGGCTTGCTTCCAATCTAAGTCTAGAGGTGTATGTATGTGTTCGCAAAACATATACAGTTACACACAAATATTGTTGTATACGTATGCATGCATGCATGTGTCTGTATGTATGCTTATGCATTGCATTGTGGTAGGTTAGTGGCTTGGGCAGTGCAAACATTAGATGCATCATGTATTGTAAAATGCAGCCATCGGCTTGAGCCAAACATTTTAGACGGCAATGGATTCACTTCTTGCCCATTGCTCTGCTACTGAAGCAGGGCGGCACTTCTTTCAGATATGGAAATTGCAATCTCCTATCGAGTTCGCTAATTACTTTGACTCGCAGGAGGACGTTCGAAGGGCAGCATCTCAGATATGGGATCAACCCGATCAAATCATTGTGAACCAGCTTTGTGAGATGTGGTCTTTAGCCAATGTGTGGGCTGATCATGCTGCACAGTTGACTGCACAAAGCTTTGATGAGCATCCTGTCTCACGCAGTTATGCGTGCTCAACAGCACAGCTACCGCTCGCGCGTCAGCATTTACCCATAGCACCGCGTGCGCTGCCAAGTGCTAAATTCAGTCGTCGTCGCTGCACCGCAACGCCTCAAGGCACCGTCAGTCAAAACGTTCAGCATTCCAGTCGTTTGGCTGAAAAGTTGTGGAGTCTTTTTATTGAGATTGGAGTTGCTGGCTCGTTGTGGGCGCAATTTCAAGGGCTCTCTGAAACACTGCAACTGGCATTTCGAGAAAGTAAGCTTGACTCTTGGAAGCAGTTGCCAATTTCATCCTTGTCGCGGGCAGTTAGCACGGCAAACCGATGGACGACATGGTGCTTACAGTCAGGCGTGCTGCCCTGGAAACCTACGCCGCTTGAGGTCGGTTTGTGGCTGCGTTCATTGCGACGTCGAGGTCCGACAGCCCCACGTGGAGCTTTGACGGTCCTCAGATTTTTGCAGTTGCATTTGGGCGCTGTTTTCCACGCGGAGCTGGATGAGGTGGCCAGGCATGGTGTCATTGAGCCTGGCCACGAAGAGATGCCGGCCACACCTATGACAATTAGCATGTGGGTGCAGTTGGAACAAGTCCTAGCCGATACATCCTCTGGGGATGCTGTCAAGATGTTGTGTGCCACTTGGATTTTTCTCCTGGTGGGATGTGTTCGCTTTGCGCACATACAACGATCTTCTTTGACACAGTGCTCGGAAACGGGATTGGAATTCTTCTGCAATCGTGGCAAAGCTAGGGTCAGAGGTGTTCAAGCGCCGTTTCGGTGGAGCATGCCGCGCCATGGCATCACAGGCATTGATCTTTACCAAGTTTGGTCCAGCATTGTCTTGAAAGCCTTTGGCGAGCTGACTCAGCTGACATTCATTCTGCCTGACTTTTCCCCCTCTCGAGTAACCCTCGACAAAGTACGGGGCTTAAACGCAGCAGCCATGCCTCTTTGGAAGTTCGTTCGCATGTCTCGCACACTGTTTCGCATGCTCGGCTTGGACTGTCATCACAAAGGTCGAAGCACGGCCTTGAGCTACATGAGCCGGCGTGTTCTGCCAACGCTGGCTGATATGTCCAATTTTAAACCACGCGAGCTGCTAGCAGTCGGAGCCTGGGTGGATAACAAGCGTCCGTCCATGCAGGCCATATCCTGGCGCCTGGCCATGCCACTCCGTTATAGTGACAAAAAGTTGTTGGTGGCTCGACAGCTGAAATCGGAGCTGGTCATAGCTGCACAACTCGCCTTCAATGCTTGGCGGACCCGGTATGGCGATGCCGCACCAACTTGGGATGACTTACTGCCACTCTGGCCCAACCGAGCCCTCGCGCAGCGTCGTGTTGTCGCCAACAACCCGCGACGTATCTCGGATGTTCGCCTCCATGACCCAGATAGTTCCTCTTCTGCAGAGTCGGCTCCCAGCGTTGGAGCTTCAGTCGCATGGCTGCTGCCAACTTCCGCCACTCGTTGCAAGCTTCATCTTCAGTCGGAGCACTCTTGCAACATAGGCCAATGCGGAAAGAAATTTAGCCGACCTGAAGAAGGTGTCGGTCTGAACGCAGCTCTAGCTACTGGTCGCAGTTGGTCCCCCACATGCTTCAGAAAGTTGCCTGAGTCGGCTCGCGAAGCATGGAAACGTTTTGGAGAGATCCAAATGTGATGCCCGAGGATGCCCGAGGTCTCATCTGAACCGGCCGCGCGAAAACGTGAGTTGCATCGACCGGTGCCTTCATTCAATTCAATGCTCTGATGCATGCAATCTTGAATTTCCTTACAACTGTGAGCTGATCTTCATTGTGATGCGGCTTCCTTAGCTACCGCTTGTCATCACGACGCGGTCTAACAAGGCATTGCGCCTTGGGCATACCGTAGGTCATAAAAGTTGCGTTTATTGTGGCCAACAGTTGTACCACACTAAACTATTCAATGTACGAGGCGAACGCAGATCTCATTCGTCATTGTGATGTGAGCTGTGTCCGCAGTATATTGCCCAAACCCGAACCGCATACGCTCGTGCTGCAATCCTCATGCCCGTTGATGCTCAGTTCCAAGCCTTCTTGCGCCAGCGCCAAGTGGCGCAGGAGATTATTGACTATCTGGGCTCCGCTAGTGTTGGTTGCTATAGCATTCGTGCTTTTGCAAATTGGGTGGATTCCAGGCAGGACATCGAAGCCACCATATTGGCCAAGATCCCGGCCAAAAAGGACGACCGTAGTCAGCTTGCCATGCTCAAACAAGCGTGGAGAGAGGCTGATGCTCTGGTGGCTCGACAAATATCCCGCCAATCCCAAGGGTTGGCTCCGGAGGACCTGGATGACCCCTTGGATCCAGATGTTCAGAAATCGTATGTCTCCACATTCATCTCATTTCACAAATGGGGCGAGATTGACTCCAGGCGCATCGGCAGTGACTCCATGTTTGGTCGCTTCCGCAGAGAGTTTGAAGCCAAGCAACCTTCCATGTTCCCAGTGTCTCGCGTTCGTTCCCTGGCAACTGCACAGAAGTCGCCGCCTTTTAAGAAGCAACGGCTTACAGATGGTGTCGCCCTCGACATTTCGACGACCGGCCACGAGGATGGAGAATCGTCCGTGGCCCAAGTTTTGCACGGATTCCTCTCATTGCTTGAGGTCTTGTGCTTCACTTGGGCAGTCGCTGGTTGCTTCGATGTCGAATACAAGGGTACCATGGTCAAGTATGCCGCTTGGCCCCTTCTGTCCCAATACAGCTTCCAACTTGCCCAGCGTGCATGGAAGCTCTGCGGGCAATACACCATGGAATCAGTGCTTGACTACATCCGTGCTGTCGAAGAGGATTTTCGGGCCAAGGCCATTGAGCTGGCCCGTGGCAGCGAACAGCAACCATGGGGGCATGCCCTTGCGCATGTCATTAAGGAGCACAGTTCAATTTGGAAGGACCATGATCATGTGTTGCACCGAGGCGGCAGGAGTGTGGCCCCAGGGGTTACGCTCCTGCCCGCACCATCGCAGCCCCCGCCAGCTGTTGAGCCTGTCGCATCCCGCTCCAAGTGGCAGACTGCCAACCACACATCCTCTGGTCAGAAGATCTGCAAAAAGAACAACGACCGCAGGGGATGCGAGGCCAAATGCCCAAAAGGCGAGGTGCACTGCTGCGACATTGTCCTCGCTTCCTCTGGCAGAGTGTGCGAGGGGCGAGACCACAACCGCGAGACTCATGACCCCGTCAAGCATGGTAAACCTGCCGTGCGCTAGGGAAGGCGTGCAGATCAAACCAACTGCGTATTGGTGGAATTCTGTCTTGGTTTGGCGCCCTTTATCATCGCGGCAGAAGAACTTCAGTGGGGACCATCGGCCTATGTTCTGGATGTTTCTCAAGATGCGAAATCCATCATCGAGGCGCATCACCCTTCCGCAACAGACTGGGGGCCCAGTAGCTCCATCACCAAACCCATGGTGGACGAGCTGGTCCAAAATCATGCCGGAGCCACGTTTGTTTTGGTTTGCAGTGCTGTATTGTGTAGCCCCACAAGGCGGTTGGAGCAATTGCGGACGTTTTGCAGGGTGTTGGAGTGGTTCTCGGCTGCAACGCATGGAACCATCGTCGCCATTACAGCTTGTGAAGCTGCTGATGAAAAGAGTGTCGCGCTTTACGAAGAGCAATTTCAATCTGCAGCGCAGGCCTTTCCTGCCGGCGCATGTGTCGGGCACTTGGCCAAGCTGTGCTGGTGGACATCGCCTCCTTCCGGCAACTGCATGCCGCCGCTTACATCAACTCCATCTCTGCAGACAACACTGCTGCCTGGCTGGGAAGCGGAAGGCCTTTTGCGCCAGCATTGCTTCCTGGTTGATCACCCGCTGCGATTCGTGCGCAGCCCGGCCACTTCGTTTTGCAGGCTACTGGTCCCGTTGGAAATGGAGAGGCTTATTGGGCTACCAGGCCATTACACAGCACCTTTGTTTAGCAGCTACCACGATCGTCCACTTGAGGATTGTGCAGTTGCCCGTAGTGCCTTGTTATATCCCATGCTGCCAATCCCACTGGCAAAAGCGCTCCTGTCTCGTGTGGAGCCGTTTATGTCTGCACGATCCTGGCACCCAATCCCCAGTAGCTTGCCCGTTCAAGTCGACTGCCGTATCGACAAACATTTCCCGGAGCACGCTGCAGTGTATTGGACGCTGCGCCGTCAGTGCCCTTACATCCAGGATGTGTTCCATCGAGGCTGGCCCACCGACTGCCCCATGGGCCCGGACGTTATCGAGCAAAATGCTCACAGCTCCGCATCGGTGGCTCTGTTGCTGCAATCACGCACCCAAACTGCAGCATCCGGACAGCGTTCTCTCTTGCCGCTTGGATTGGACCCAGTGCTGCACTTTGAATGCGGGCAGGTTGTGGAGTCTCCGCTGGCCGTGGAGCCACCCGTCCCAGATGACCTCGATTTTGCTTTGCGCATGTGTTTGCGACTTGGGCGAGGCGCCCGAGCTTGGCGGCGTCGCCAGCTTAACATTCTCAGAGCAGCGGTCGACAATGCACGTGGCCTGGCAGACATGCTGGACCTCGGTCGCTCCAGCACTTCCGTTAGAGTGGCGTCGCACGTTCACTTGGACAGGGTGGATTTGGCCAGATTTTCCTTATGCTGGCCGGATGTTGGTCTCCTCGAGTTGGCGCAGCGCGGAGCTTGTATCGTGGGCAACATCCCTGAAACTCATATCTACCGGCCAGCTTGCGTGGAGCCAACAGTGCCTCTGCAGGAGTTCGAACAGTCCCACGGGGCATTTGTGCAATCGTTGTTGGCATCCACACCGCCGCCGCCGGATCAGGTGCAGATCATATGGGAAAAGTCCGAGGCGGAACGCCAATCTGGTACATTGCGCGGTTATTGGACGGCTGCTGAGATGGACTCCAGACATGGTGCAGGCCGTTGGCGCCCCATGCCACGCTTCGCCGTCTGGCAACAATCCCATTCCAAATGGCGCCTCATTGATGATGCAAAGGCGTCCAGCACTAACCGCACCATGCAGGCGACCGAGCGCATTCACACAACATCTGCATCCGCAACGTTTGCCGCTGTCCGGAGGCTGCGCTCCCTGCACGGACATCCCTTGGCAGGTGACTTTGAAGTGCGTGTTAGTACCCATGACCTGGAGAAGGCGTACAGACAAATTCCTGTCATCCCAGAACATCTTCGATTTTCGATTGTTGCCATCTACCATCCTGAACGCCGACAGTGGGTTTTCGCAGAGTGTGACGGTTTGGCTTTTGGTCTTTCAGCCGCCGTGTTGGGATTCAACCGGGTGCCATCCTTCATTGTTGCTCTCGCACGCCGCTGGCTGGCTATACCACTTTTCAGCTTCTTCGACGACTTTAAAGTGTTGGATGTGGCGTGTAGCTCTGGCTCCGCCACCAGGTCCTTCCTACAACTTTTGGACTGGCTGGGATATAGGCGCGACCCAGGTAAGGACCAAATGCCATCAGCCGATGCAATCTTTCTCGGTGCACGCGAGGTCTACTCTCATCTGGGTGCGTCTGACTCAATCTGGCATCTGCCCAAACCCGGCAGGGAGGAGCAAATTCGGCAACAAATTCTTCAAATCCAACGTCAAGGTCGTCTTTCTGCGTCTTCGGCTATGTCTTTGCGCGGCAAGCTTCTACATTTGGCCGAAACATATCAAGGCCGCTCCGGTAGGGTCCCGACTCCCCACCTGGACGAAAGGGCGGCAGCGGATCACACGACTGCGATGTCGCCGGGCATTCAGATGGAACTGGACTTGTACTTGGAAATGCTGGAGACATGTCCTTACCGACAAGTGCCTATGGACCCATCGGCCCTGCCTCAAATTTCTCTTTTCACAGATGCGTCTTTTCATGTTGATGCTCAGGGTGTTCCTCGAGCGCGTATTTGTTTCATTGTGGCATGTGCGAGCAGGCATATTCGCAGGGGAGCTGTCATTGACGTTCCTCCGGAGGTTCTGGCCCGCTTCCAGCCTTCCGAAACACTCATTGCACAGGCAGAAGCCTTGGCGCCGATGTTGGCATTGTACTTCGAACCTGACCTCCTACAACAATGCTTGCTCACGGTTTTCATTGACAATATGGGTGTTCTGTGCAATTTCGTTCTGGGGTCCTCTAGTTCCCTGGACCTTGGATGCATCGTGCACGCGACTGTTCTGCGACTCATGCGGAGAGGCGTCCGAGCATGGTGGGAGCACGTCCCCAGCAAATCTAACATCGCAGACGGTGGGTCTCGCGTCGGTGCCTCCTGCCCCGTAGCAGCCAAGGCAGGCATTACACTAGTTTCGAAAGTTTTCCCACGAGAGTGGCCCCAGAATCACGTGCAGCTAAGCATGAAGGAGTGGCAGCGCTTTTGGACATCCCACTGAGTCAAGTAAAGGTGTGCCTGCCAGATCGTGTGCAGCTCGTCCAGCGCTTCACGCTGTATGCATTGCATGTTCAGTCTTTTCGGAGATCCATGGCAAGTAGATGACAGATCAATGGCGGGGGACATCGTTTGTGAATCAATCCTTCAGGTTTAGCCTGCCTGGGAGCGGCACCATTCGGCTTTACACCTGAGGATTTTCATACCATCGACATCCCATTCAGGTTGCTGTGAGTGGGCCATGGCCCTCCCGAAGCTTCAACATGCATCTGCATGTAGCTCCTCTCTTCCTTGAAACATCATGTGCTATCTAATGCATTGCATTGTGGTAGGTTAGTGGCTTGGGCAGTGCAAACATTAGATGCATCATGTATTGTAAAATGCAGCCATCGGCTTGAGCCAAACATTTTAGACCCCTCCCACTTCGCTGTAAGTCCCGCTCGAAATTGGCCCTTTAGCGAACTTCCCATCCCTTAACGGGTGAATGCGCTGGGCTTCCCCCCCCTTGATGTTGCACTCACGGCTAGGCCTGGTGCACATACAACTCCTCCCTTGATTTTGCGTAGTTTTAATTACGATTCGGGAGCAAGTTGTTACCATCAAGGCATTATACGGCCATCCGGCCGGCGGGGGACATCGTTTGTGAATCAATCCTTCAGGTTTAGCCTGCCTGGGAGCGGCACCATTCGGCTTTACACCTGAGGATTTTCATACCATCGACATCCCATTCAGGTTGCTGTGAGTGGGCCATGGCCCTCCCGAAGCTTCAACATGCATCTGCATGTAGCTCCTCTCTTCCTTGAAACATCATGTGCTATCTAATGTATGTATGTATGTATGTATGTATGTATGTATATATACATACATAAATTTATATGTATATATATATATACATGTATACATGTATATAT